CGCTACTAGGTTGGAGGCCATCGCTAGTAGGCTGGAGGCCATCGCTACTAGGTGGGAGGCCATCGCTACTAGGTGGGAGGCCATCGCTGTACTAGGCTGGAGGCCATCGCTAGTAGGCCGGAGGCCATCGCTACTAGGTGGGAGGCCATCGCTACTAGGTTGGAGGCCATCGCTAGTAGGTTGGAGGCCATCGCTACTAGGTGGGAGGCCATCGCTTACTAGGTTGGAGGCCATCGCTAGTAGGTTGGAGGCCAGCCTAGGTTGGAGGCCATCGCTACTAGGTTGGAGGCCATCGCTCCATTGCTAGTAGGTTGGAGGCCATCGCTGCTAGGTGGGAAACCATTGCTAACAGATTGGAGGCCATCGCTACTAGGTTGGAGGCCATCACTAGTAGGTTGGAGGCCATTGCGACTACAGGTTGAAGGCCATCGCTAGTAGGTTGGAGGCCATTGCTACTATGTTGGAGGCCATTGCTAGCAGGTTGGAGGCTTTCGCTAGTAGGTTGGAGGCCATTGCTACTTGTACACGGTTTTTTCAGTTTTGGGACCTCACGAAGATAGGCAAGTCTGAACGAACCCCACGCAACAGTGTCTCGCAAAGGAAGGTTGAAGCAAGAGGCAGGTAGATCATCAAGGAGGCCTTAATTCCTTTCAGTTCAATCAATTGTTTTTGGACCCAGGTGGAACCTCTCGAAGCGGATCAGTTCGCCGGCTCAGCCAGTTGAAGATCGGATCTATTTCCATGTCGCCAACCGACCCTCAGATGTATCCCATCAGCGGTTTCGTGTCACGTGGCCCGAAACAAGAAAACCGATACAGAACACCTTTCCCTCCTCCCACTTCTTCGATTCCTGGAAAGCCTGAAAAGGAAGCTCTTAAAAGTTTTGGGTCTGTTCAGCGCAGGGAATCATTCTCGCACCAATGTCGGGGCTGGGCGAGACAAGGAGTTGAAGGCGTTGGTTAAAGGCTTACCTTAGGGCACAATCCTCGAGACATGTTGGGTTCAGCAGCCGACTTTTTTGGGTGTCTCATCAATTTTGATGGTTGTTTTCTGTCTTTTTCACGACTTCTGGCCTTGTAACTCGCCCAAGTCCATAGTGTGTCACCTGACGAAACGCGCCGGTACCGCTGGCCGCTTACGCCTAAAAGCGCAGTTGTTGGGCAACAGAGCTGGAGACGTTTCAGAGCTAGGCATTGAATGGCATTGAGCCAGCACCGCCAAATTCCTGTGACAGGATTTTTGAGAAGCAGAATGAGGAACTTTTGAGTTACGATAGTCATGCCTTTCTGTACTTTGTTCGGAGCTTAGAATCTTGAACGCCAGGGCCGCCAGGGGCCCTTCTTTTGGTTGCGTGCATGATCTAGTGGAGTCTAGTAGCATCGTCTTGAGACGGTTTGGTCTTGTGATTCCAAGGCACTGACAGTCCTTAGCGTCCAAGCCACAGAAAGTTTGTCTCCAAGCCTCGTTTGTCGACAGCCACAGAGGTTGTCCTGGTGCCTTGGACCTATTTCTTGATCAAAACTATACTGTGTCCAAGGCACGGCACGTTTGCTTTGGTCCAAAAACGTGTGTGAGAGGGTAAGTTCACAGGTTTTTCTCTACCAAACTGGCGGGGCAGAGTTCGTTTCTGTTCTTTGCACTCCTTCGGCATCCTTCGGGGCAACGGCAAGGCCATCTTCAGAGCTGGACTTCGAGTCTGGAGGAAGTGCAAAGCCAGAAGGTTGTGAAGTGCGGCTTTGTAAGACCTCCTTCATGGAGGCTCCAAATTGTCTTCTGGAGGACCACGTTTCTTTTTGGTTGTTTAGGACGCTACTAGGAGCAAAGGGCATCGTTTGCTCTTATATACTTATGGGTCATGAGTAAATATATACATTCCTTTTCTCGCTCAATACAGCACTGGACAGAGCAAGCAAGGTGGTATCCTCTAAAGAGAAGCAACCTCATATGAGGTTTTGAATGCTTATGATATTCAGGTACTTGTATTGCTCTGCAGTTTTTTGTTGTTTGTGGAAAGGCCAGACGACAAAACTCCTTGAAGATTGCGAAAGCCACAAGGTGGGATGGCCAGAGAAGGAAACAGGAACATCTTTTGGGGAGTTTGTAACATTTCTTTTTATTGTTTGCCACTTTTTCTGACAATATCTTCTCAATCAAAGAGATCTTCTGAACTTCTCGCCAGGTTTCGTGGTCTCAACTTGGTGCAAATCGTCGGGCTTGCTATTGGCTGGTGCGGGAATTTGTGGAAGGTAAAGAGAACTGCTACCTGCTGATTCAGCAGCTGCAGAGAATTGTCTCAAGTTGTGATAGCGCAGGTCACTGATGATGCGGGTACTTGCTGAGCTCAAGGTGGACAAATTGACAAGATCTTTACATGTTAGATCATATTAGTCTGGCTCTGCGACTGAGGACGCTCCCACAGAACTGCGCACCTTCGACCCTTACCAAATCTTGGAGGTCAGGACGAGCAAACTCAGATCCGAACATGACTATGCCATGCGACGCTATGCAATCCCCTGGCATTCGACAGACAGGTATCTAGGGGTGCAGAGCTGCGGGAGATCAAGAAGGCTTGGAAGTGAACGAATCACACCCGATCGGTTGCAGCTTGTCCCCTTGGTTTGCCAGGCCTATCGCACCAAGTCTCTCCAGCATCATCCAGACAAGGAGAGAAGATGAGAGAGACGCCAGCCAAATGTAAATCGAAACTTCCAGACTCATGACCGATCCTTTTGAGCCAGTGCATTTTTCCAACAAAGAAGTTGTGGTTGTGAGGACAAAGATAACCCATTGGCTCCAGCATTATTTCAGCAGGTGAGGGAGTGTGTGCACACCGCCTGGCACGTTCCGAGCCGTGTCTTGGGCTGTGGCAGCGCCCATTCTTCCTCAGGTCTCCAAGGCTTATGCTGCTTTGACCGATGAGGCCGCTCGGAAGAACTACGAGAAGTGCCGCCAGGGCTGACTCTTCGGCCGAGCAGCATCCATGTGCTGTGCGTGGTGTTCAGTTCAGGCCCCCTTCAATAGGGCCAATAAGGGGTCCGGGTAGGTCCGAGTGCTATTACCTTCTTTGTTCATGCAATGTTTGTAAAGTCGAAGGCAGAACAAGTCCCCAGCAATCCCAATACTGCTGGGATAGAATAGGGAAATCTACCGAGCGCCAGGTACGGGAACCCTGATGGCCCGGGGCAGATGAAGGCCTCATGTGCTGCAGCTTCAACCTTGTCCATTAATTCATCGTTTAACGAGCACTCCTGGCTCCTAGTAGGGTCCTTGCTCCTAGTAGCGATGCCAGGAGCCCCTAGTAGCGAACATTGCTCCTAGTAGTACGGCCAGGAGCCCCTAGTAGCGTCCTTGCTCCTAGTAGTAGGGTCAGGAGCTAGTGTAGTCAGTCCAGTTTTGAGCGCAATCACGTGTTTTCACCCTCCTTCTCGGCTCACAGTTTCACCGAAGAGCCCCATTGCAACTACCACCGCCAAGCAAGTCAACACATGTGTTTGCTGCATTGATCTCTTTGCAGAAACCAAATCAACTGAAACACCACGCGAAATGTCAAGTCACGGCATTTAGCTCCAGCCAAAGGGTTTGGGCTGTTGTAGACCTGCCTTCACAGCAGGGAACGGGCCTCAGAGGCCTTAGAGGCCTTTGATTGTCACAAGTTTCATACTGTTGATCTGTTCATGTTCATCATCACCTCCCTTCAAGGTCTATGTGGGCACGAAGGTGCTTTCGGAAGAATTCCATTTGGCCAAACACGAAATCCCAACGTGGAATTGCCAATGTAGATGCAGGACCTCCGTGGGGAGTGGAGTTGTGCAGGTGTGGTGCCAGACCAAGATGGCCGTCCCGCGTGAAGGCTCAGGGCAGTTGACCTCGACGGATTCTCGACGTTTCGAGCTGTCATGGCCTGGGCGTCAGGTGGTCTTTTTCAGCTTCATTTCGGGAACGCTGGGGCTGTCCCTATATTCCTACATGTCAGGAATGAATGCAGCTTGGAAGATCGAAAGGTTGACGGATAGAGATTGGAGAATTGAACTTAAGTTTCCCTAAACATTTGGGAACCAAATCTCTAGCGGCTAGAAGCTACGAACGGGGCTCCTGGCCTTACTACGAACGGAGCAAGGGCATCGCTACGAACGGAACCAAATCATTAGTGCGAGCAGTTCTTCAAGGAAGCTTCCCGCCGTCGCCTTTAGGGTGGCGGGGAGCTTCCTTGAAGAAGCGTGAGCTATCCTGCGTCCTGTGCGTAGTAGCTGCTTGTTAGCTACTAGCTACCTCTAGCTACTACCTCCCTCTATGGCCTACCCCCCCCGGGCCAAAAAAAGTGTTCAATCTCGAGGTCTCTTCATTGAATTTGAATGAGCCCACCTCCGAACGAGTGACTTGCCTCTCGGAATGGCCTCAGCGCTATGAC